AAATTTAATTAGAAAAAAAATGGAATTTTTTTATTGGTCGAAATTGGTTTACACGGTTTCTTAGAAATGCACGGTTTTCATTTGAACGTGCCCATATATATATATATATATATATATATATATATATATATATATATATGGGCCCATTCAAAGGAGAACTAGATAGTTTGTGGTAACTGTGAGATCCAATCTCAACCACAAATTAATAGATAAATTAGGAAATTTATAAATTTGATTAAATTTTAATTAAAATTTTAATGCAAGGACATTTTAGGTAATTTCTCTCCTCTCTTCTCTCTCCGTCCCCGTCTTCCGGCCACCGTCCTCCGGTGATACCACAGTGTGATACTTAAGCATATATAAGATGCATTGTGATACCACTGTGTTACATATTCGATCGACCGCACAAACGACCACAGTGTGATACCCAATCACATATATGATGCATTGTGATACCACTGTGGTATCACCGGAGGACGGTGGTTGGAGGATGGGGGACGGAGAGAGAAGAGAGGAGATAGGAGAGAGGACAGAAAATACCTAAAATACCCTTGTATTAAAATTTTAATTAAAAATTACCAAAATTATTAATTTTTTAATTTATCTATTGATTTGTGGTTGAGGTTGGACCTCACGGTTACCACAAAGTAATTAGTTCTCATCTGATTAGGCCCATATATATATATACATATATATATATATATAGAGCTTGGTTCAAATGTTAATTAATATTATTATGTTAACTTTGTTAAGCAAGCTCAATCAATAAAAATCCATATTTTATCTAGGTTCATATTCATGTCATAATTTAATGACAAGAGTAAATATGTAATTTTAATTTGTATGTAACTCTCATGTTATTAATTAGAGTTACAAAATCAAAAAATCCCATAATTGTTGTTGATTTACTATTGACCTAGTTTTTCTATAATATTGATTTATCTATCTATAATGTTCTTGAACTTGTGATTGTTAAAGAAGACCCGATAGTAAAGTTTTTGATATCGTTCGAGCTAATATGGATAAACCCATTGTAAAACAACTCGACAACAATAGGAAGGTTAAAATGGTTTACGATGACAATCGGACTTCGAGTTCCGGAAGTGAAGACAAAAATCAAAGCGTTTGTATTGGTAATGGATTAATATGTTATTGTATTTGTTTTAATCGAAATTATGTTGATTATGACGTTTTTGTGTTTTTTATAGTTTATATTATATTGGTAGTTTTTTCTTTAATTATTACTACGAGCCCAATAAATATGTTCAAATGGAATGAGTTCATCGTCAACTTAATTTGTTATACAATCCAATTCCGATAACCATTCGGCTCCATAAGCTGCTTGTGATGTTTGACCTGCCATAGACTGCAACTAGTGTTCATATACATTTAGGTGTGTTCATGTATGTTCTAGTAGGGACATGAATCAAAGCATCTAATGTTGAATTTATAATTTTTGTTAATTTATTATTGATCTTTTTTTTATAATATTGATTTTTCTATCTATAATGTTTTTGAATTTGTGATTGGTAGAAGAGACCCGGTAGTAAAGTTTTCGGTATCGTTCAAGCTATTATGGATAAACTCATTATTCATAATGAAAGAACTATTGTTCGCAAGTGTTCATATTGTGTTCATACGTACACTAGCTGCATATCTCAACATTGGTTCGCTCCTGAATGTGTTCATAATGAAGGAACTATTGTTCACAAACTGTTCATATTGTGTTCATATGTACACTAGCTGCATATTTCAACATTGGCTTGCTCCTGAATGTGTTCATAATGAAGGAACTATTGTTCACAAACTGTTCATATTGTGTTCATACTTTTTTTTTATTTATTTCATTTCGTGTAGCAGTTATTTCTTATTATATTCATAAATGCTATGCAGTTCAAGTTCATATATATGTCAATTTTTGTTCGTATTTGATACAATG